GCATCCAACCATCCACAGGCAGTTTTTTTTGACCGCAAAGTCTGCAAAATGTTGTCCGTAGTACTGTCCTAGATTCGTGATGATCTCTTTCGCCTTCGAAATTTTGTCTCTCAATGCATCCCTTATGATCTTCAGTATGGTTCGTTCTCAATGTTTGCCTCCACCATCTTCAGAGAAAGTACGTCCGGGTGTTTTACTCGCGGCACTACCTTGCTGTCCGTTGGTATAACTGAATATGTCCACTTGTCGGTATTTATGGATGGGTATGAGAGGCCAGGGAAATTAGAGGGAAACGGTTTTATCGTTTTGAGTTTCTTGGATGAAGTAGCATGTTGTGGCAAGTTCACTTAGGGAATTTTTTCTATATCGGAATCGGAGCTGCTTGAGCCAAGGGTTGAGACTGTATTGGTCAGGTTATTTGGGACCACATTGAATTTGGACGTTTCTGATTGAGTTGAGGCGTTTAATTTTGCTGCACTGTTATCCAGACGAAGTTGGGCCACATCCTTCAGTTGAAATATGAGCAACTTGTTTGCAGGAGAAAATGAGCAACTTGCTTGTAGACCTTGAGAATGAAGTCTGTTTTTCCGTTTTCCGCTCGTGCATACAATCTTCGATGTGCAAAAATCTCTCCTGCCATTGACTGAACTTCCCTCGCATGGTTTTACGCCCTCGGCCGGCTCGCTGTGTTAATTTGATTTATTTGCATACTCTCTCAATTTTGTGTTGCCATTGGTTGAAATGTAATTGCATGTTTTACCGCAATCCGCCGTTCGCTTTCGGTGCGTACTATTTGGGAAAATCTCCTTCCTTCGGTTATTTGTACTTTTTTATTTCCGTTGGTGGATCTAACACTTTTTTTTTATCATATTAATCTTTGAAACTGTAAGTGTAGGGTCATAATGACTTTTAGCGGGCGTATCCGATGAGGTGTTTCTTGATAACTAAACTACCATCCCCATTTTTGACCCTTGAACATGTTCTATTTTAAAGTCATAAGGCAATAAACTTTCGTACCATCGGGTTATTCTGCTGAAAAATGTTTTAATAACTTTTGGCGAAGCATTGTGATCAATGCATTGTGATCTGAGATGATTACAAAAAAGCGTCGATAAATGTAGTTTTTTCATTGTTTTTTAGCCCATACGACGGCTGCTAATTCGAGCTCGAGCTTGTTTGTTGAATGATTGCATTCTGCGGAATTTAGGTCTTATGATTCCAACGAGATAGGTTGCCATCCCTCTTGCCTGTGTTATTTCAACATCACGCCAAGTCTTGACTTGCATCGAATACAATTCGCGTTTTCCGGTACATGTCGAAATGTTTGAGCTCAGTTATTTTCAGCTTGAGTGAATCAAACGTTGATTCGCATTCTTCGTCCAAATGAATTCTTTGTTTTTGCTTAGAAGTGGCCTTAGAGATGTGCTTACTTTCCTGGAATTAGGTAGAAATGTGTGTGAACTATGTAAGGAGCCCATTAGCGACTTTAGCTGCTTTTTGGTCCGCGGCGCTTCCAATTCATATATAGATTTTTTTTCGAATTAATGGCGTAATTTGGGTTTTGCTTATTTGATTAACCAGCCATTGGCAACTTGGTTTTGCGAATTTGCATTTCCGTAGTTTCAACGACGCGTTTGCTATGTCGAATTTTTAAAGTATTTTCTCTGCTAACGCAATATTGTTTTCTTTTGGAACTTTTAATTTTTCATCCAAAATTGAGTGTGCCTGCGGTAACTCCTTTGTGAGAGTATCCATTACTTTTAAAAATTACATTACGTGAGAGTATTCATTACGTGTAGGACTTATATGCTTTATCCCCCGTCCATAGGATAAGGCAATCCCATTTACTTCCTCTGGCGCAACATTTTCTGCTTGTTTGTGAAATTGCAATGTCTCGCCAGAGCGTTGAGTACCGCGTGAAACTTTTCAAACGTTTCGTGCTCTCGTTGTTTAAGTCCATAAAACAAACCTCTTTCGTGCGTTACCTTACGTTTTAGCTTAAAAACGCTTTCCATGTGGTCCAATTTTTGAGAGTATCGTTCTGCTTTGGTATTCACTCCTGGTTGCCTGGCTTTAAAAATCCGTTGCGCTTCCTCTCCAATACATAAATTAAGAATCGACTTGAGTTTCTTCTTCGACTCAGTCAGGTTTTTTGCGTTTACATCCCCCGGTAAAGCCGCGATTTGAGTAGCTGTTAACGTGGCATCGAAGAAGAAATTGTCTGGATCAATATCGTGTTTCGCTATCATCCCCCCATGGAATTTCACGATCCATTCCTCCCAGTAAGTTGGTGGGTCAAGTGTTTTAGAGTTCCAAAAAAAACAATGTTTAAAGGATTCTTAAGCCTCCTTTTTTATCGACTGGCTGCGCCATTTTGAAGTAAAAAATCAGAGTTGAAAAATTCGAAAGTAATATACGGTAAAAATCTACTGTAGGTTAAGAAAAAAGTAATGCAAACTGCACTGGTTTTTTCAGGCGTGTCCAGAGGTAGAAAGAACAGTGATTACAGAAAGAGAACGGTGACCAGACATTAAAGGACTTTACCAAAACTTTACATAAACATGAATTGTATAAATTGTACAGAAAAAAAAGACTCAATGCAGGGCTTATTTATTCAAAATTAATTTACATTACTAGAGTAAAACCAACATTTCACGGCTTAATTTGAAAAAAAAAATCAAACAGTTATAAATTTTTCAAAACCCTGCGTTACGAGGTCAAACTGTGCATTGCACAGGCGCACTCTTTAATGTGTGAACGTCTTTGGAACTCAGAAACAAAGACTTTACAAATGTTTAAAATCCCGGGATGACTTCCATAGACCAAAAATGACCTCCATAGATCGAAAAATACTGATACTTAAAGTGTATGGAAAACTGCTTGTCATACAATTGTCGTTTCATTTCGTTTCAAATTTTTTTCAACTGTAAATCGAATTTTGTACTCAAATAAACATTTTCGAAAAAAATTTTGCCCGCAAAGTTTAATTTTTTGGGTGCATAATGTAGACCTGGATACCTAAGCCTTCAAAACAACTTTTTTCAGCACTTTCTTTATTGTTGTTCAAATAATGAAGGAAAGAGATTATGCTTGAAAGGAAGGAGTGATATATCACTCAATTCATTCTGATGAATATTTGTGATACACCCAAAAATATAGTTCCTCTGCAGTAGTCGGAACAATTACAAACTTTGAACTGATTTTGATTTGACATCTGCAACATGAATTTCAAGCGTCATCAATTTTGTAACAGTTAAATATAAAAGCTTTTTCTGTAAACTGAATAACAAATACTTTGAACAATAATTTTTTCACTCTTTTTTCAGCTGTTGTGATAAGTTTTACATTAAACTTATAAAAAGAGACAAAATGCACAGCAGATTTCAGCTGTCAAACTGCAAATCAATCTGAATAAAAAATCAGAGACAGTTTGAATAATTTATTTTATTCAATAATTTATCAAAGGAAAGTACAAAATAAATTATTGAACTCAAAATATTATAACAAACAGAGCTTTGTAGGATTTTTTGGATGTTTTTGGTGGCGTTTGCATAAAAGCAAAGTAATTCTTTTCCCCTTCATATGAAGAAGAATGTTTCTTCAAGACTTGATGTCGCCTGGTCTTCAGAAAATCACCGGATATCAGTCATAAAAAACCTTCTCTTCTCTGCAAGTTACAAGAAAAACAAATTTGGACACTAGGCATGTTTGATTGAACAAAATAACAAGAATTGTAAATGGATTACAAAAATTTTGCTCTTGAATTGTTCTCCACATTAGGAAATTGGGAATCTAAACCGTACTGAATATCGACGACGCCACAGAAAGCTTATGATAATTGCAACTTGATATCAAAAAAATTTCGATGCTTTGAGATAAGAATCAGATCACCTCAGAAAACAATTCAAAAATAATGTAAAACAATTGAAACAGCAGTAACAATTTGAAGACTACGGATTACTCTATAAAAAAGTTTTATTGGTCAATCATTGGCAGCATTTGCTATTTCTCAATTTAAAATCTTAATTTAATAAAATTTGTGTCTATTTGAATATTTTGAATATGATTTTTTCTTGCCACCAGTACCGGAAGATCACGCCAACTCCCCCCCCCCCACACACACACACACACACTTACACATCATGGACTCCCAAAATGTACAGATATCAAGAGGGCTTAATGGTTAACCAAGTTTTTTTGGGTCAAAAAAGTTTTTCAAAAGATTGGTTACTAATTTGAATATTAAAACTATCGAAGGGTTGGAGGTTGAAGCCATGCCTGTTTTGATTGGCATTATTTAGGTGCATCTATTATTTTAATTTTTAGCAAAACAATTTAGGGTCGTCTTTATGGTAACGGACGCCTGAAAACAGACTTAATTTAGTCTTACGGCGCTTTTTCAAGTGATGTTTTTTTAGAAAAATTCTTCGTTTGTAATTCTGTAGTACGCGTTATGAATTCACTTGGAAAGTATTTTGATTATTATTAAAAGGGCAAAAAAAAGAGAAAAAGCCAGCGTGAACCTGCTTAATTAAGTAATTTGTTCATTTGACGAGTCGTATATAACTATATCTTACCTTTCTTATAGTAATACCGATTCAATTGTTTTTTAAAACTTCATTTTTATTTTTCACCATTTAGGGGAGGCGGGTGGTATAACCAAAAAGACCAGTACTTTAGCTTCCGACTTTGCAGAACGATAACAATTTTTGAACTTTTGGCATAAGTCTTGGCACAACTAAAACTAATTGACAGCCAATAAGGTTGCGTAAACTTATTGATAGTTTTCATTTTTATTATAATATTTAAGTTTTCTTTCAAAACTAGTTGATCATGTATTTTATTTTGGGCAGTTTTGTCTGGAGGGCAAAATTTATAAATGCCGTGGTCGAAAGATTGTTGAGCTTGAGAAAATTAGTTTCCGATTTTAATAATATTCCAATTCAGACTCCTATTTTAGTCTTTGAAGTCATTTTAGCAGGATTATTGTATGCGTTTAGATGACGAAGATGTTTGCCGTGGTGTTGGGCTCCTTCGTCGTTCTTATGTCCCCCCACCGCTGGCTGATGTTCTGGGTTGGGGTGAAGTTCCACGTGATCGACGAAGAGGCAACTCCAAATCAGGGATGGGCACTAATCAATCAGACTTTGGTGACAGGCGTGTGTTCTATTGTCTACATGTGCAACAGTATCGTTAACCCTCTCGTATACAATATCATGGCAAAGCGTTTCAGGTTCCATTTCTACTTTACTCCTTCAAAACCAACACTCAATCATTCAATTTGTAGTTAATGTCAAATTGTTTGTAAAATTAAAGAATTTGAGGGTGAAGCAACATTACCCAGCCCAGAGAAATAACCAAAAAAATTGCATGTAGTTCTTAAACAGGGCACAACAGCGATTCGCCGTGATGAGTTGTACAGCTCTTGTGTTGGTCGTTTCCCACGTGGATAAATGGTCTTAATCTCAAACTTGATTAGTTTAGTCGGTCAAATAAATAGCATTTTAGGTTAATTCGTTTTTTGAGCACGGTTTTTACGATAACCAAAAATGAGCTAAAAACAAACAATAGTAAAATTGACAAGAAAAACAAAGGCGATACCCCCTCCGACCTCGCCTCGGCACACTTGTGGGTTCATAGCACCTGTCAATCAAGCAAAGGTGATTTAAAAAATCTTTTTTGTTCATGCATTTCCTTCCGCTTCAAAAACTTTTTTGTTTTATCATTGCGGAAGTTATCGCCGAAACAAAGCCGGCAAAACTAATGATATAAAGAAACCAATGAACTGAAACTTTCTGAATGTTTTTAATTGACGTCAATTCAACAGTTTCAAAATTATGAAGACAGATGAATAGTAGAAATTGAAAAAAAAAACAAACAAAAGACTAAAACAAAATGAAACAGTAAAATTGATGTTTTAATTTAAATTGAACTTTACACTCTGTTTTTTTCCTAACTTCCTTTTTGGGTACTCTCGAAACTTACCTAAATGAATGTAATTAACGCAGCAAAAACTATTTTGAGTTAATTTCAATCTCTTTAGAAGCTCCAAAGAAGGATCTTTCAGACTCTGAGTCACTCGACTCAGCATTCTTATGCTTTGGTGTTTTGTCACGATCGTTGCTGCTCTTTTTAGTCGACTATTGTCAATTTATGATCAGTTCAACCAAATTTGTTATCAGGTTATTTACAAAAAAACGACAGAAAAGTTGGTTCAAAGTTCAGAACAAAAAATATTTTCAGCTTGAATTAAAAAAAAAAACAGTGGTAGGGTTGAGTTTAATTTTAAGTCTTACTGCTGCAGTTTTTGTTTGCTGTATGGCCTAAATGTCTTTTAGTTTTATTTTATAGCAAGCCAAATTTGAAAGCTTTCATGAAAACCTTTGTAGTGGTTTTCAATCGCGATGACTAAATGACGTTTTGAGAACAAAAAAAACGGAAAAATTAACAATACCAATTTAAACTACTTGGATAATTTTGAGATGGACTCAATTGTCTATCTCGTAGATCGCCGTTTTCTAAGATTCAAAAGACCTACATTATAAAAAAAGATTCAGCAAGAGTTCGACTGAGAACGACATAGTTCCAATCATAAAGTAAAGCTATCCGCTTGGATATTTTCATGTTTTCAAAAAGTGTCGTTTTTTTTCCATAGACCTCATTTAATGAAATTTTGTGGCAAGCATTTTCTTGTAGGAGGTCAACCCAAGGACTTACAGATTCCGTTTTAAATACGAAAAGACTGAAAAGAACAGCTTTTCCTGTAGTTTGCATGGGGTATGATTAATTTGTTTCCAATGGTTGAGGAATTAAATATTCCTAGGCTAAACTCCCAATGGAACTATAGCATACGGTGAGTGCTGTTGGGTTCATTCAACCAAGGTTATTTGTCGCCAATAAAATGCAACCAACGTTTTAGTTCCATCTTAAAAAAATAGTTAGGAAAAATTATTTAGGCAGGGTAACTTCCTAATTGTTGCTACTGCACTTTGAGATAAAATAAAAAACCCTGTATGTTAAGACTGCCTTTTAACTGGCCTCGAATAGTTTTTGTTTAAAAGAATTGATAAACTACGAAAGTTGTACTGCCAATATCAAATGCAAGTGCTAACAATTGAGTAGAATTATTACACCAAATATAATTGACCTCAATTCAGTTCGGAAAGATTATGAATGAGGATAATTTACCGCGCATAAATTATTCGCGTATTCAAAATATAGAAATTCAATTTGAGCGGCGTTTTTAGTCTAGTGCAAGCATACACGCTTGGCAATACAAAGATATCCGGGTTCATATCCATACGCTCCCAGTTTTTGTAATAACGATCTGAATATAAAAAAAACAAGACTGCTCGTATCAAGGCGAAGCCCTGAATGTTCCGACTGCATTTTAAGGTTTGTGGAGCAGTAACAACATTAAAAAATTAAATGTAATAAAATGGAATGAAAAAAAAATTCTAAAATTTGAAGTTTTTAATGAAAACTATCCCCCCACACGCCATATAAAGTACAAAAGGATAGATTTCGCTCCTTGTAACAAATCCATTCTTCAACCAATTTGGAACGATTTCTAAGACGGATTAAATCTCCGCTTACGCGTTAATAGCGCGAAATATATCGCGCGTTAATTGTCCCAAATTGGCCAAAATGGCAATCTTTAAACCCCCATAACTTTACGAAAAATGATCACAGGTGAAATATCTTTTCAAATTTGAGATCAGGACAACAGTTTCTTTCGAATGATATAAAAAATTCCGTCAAAAATGGCTAGTTAAAAAGTCGAAATTTGTCTGAAGAAAAAAAAATCCACCCCGAGCACAAATATTCCGTTACTGTCGTATCAAAAGTCGGAACAAAAACATCCCAGACATATAAAGTTCTCACTGTATTCGCAAGTCTGAACATTTAGAAATAATTTTTCTGTAATTTTTTCCTCTTTTAAGGCCAGAACCAAGAAGCTCCAATGTCTTCAGCGTGACACGACATTTTGTCGCAAACAATTTGCATAAAACTGTGCAAACGGAGCATAAAACTGTGCCTAAAACTTGTTACATAAACTTGTTACATAAAACTTGTTGCATAAAACTGTGCAAACGAAGCTGGAATTATTTTTAATTAATCGAAATCAGCTAGCGCCTCTTTCGACCTGATAACAAAATTGCAATGAACTAACATCAAGACGATAGTTAATAGACAATAGGTCGCTCAATTTTTGCACCTAAGTCACCTTCGTATTTTTCGATAGAGGTGTTTCGATCTTCTTTTCCCAGATATTTCACAGTTCTTTTCAATTGCTTATTTACGTGTTTAGGGGGGAGGATGTTAACTTGGTCCAAAAAATTAAGTCTAACCACTGCAACATTACATTCTTTGATATCTTTGAAAAATCACCAGATGTCACTTGACTAAACTTTGAAGAAAAGCCCTTTGCTGTCTTGGCAACTTCTTGCCAAAGAGTCAGGGCCTTTTAAATGACAGTGGGATGCTCTCACTCTACATTGATACGCATAATGTGTCCTCCTTAAAATACCAGGACATATGAGAGGAAACGTTTGCCTGAATATTCCGGATGATTTTGCAGTAAAAATTGAGATAAGTCGCCCATCGAAAAGCCGCGTTGTTGAGCTGCTCTAACATTATTTTATCAAAAATGTTCTCGAACAGCTTAAGTAGGAACGTTTTCAATGAAAATTTCAATTTTTTTTACCTGATTGATCAGTTTTTTTTCGGATTCTTATTGATGCCTCTACTAATTGCCGTAGGCTACGAATCCTTGCATGGTCCGAATGGTTGCCTTTAATAAATTATTCGAATCGCCGGTTAGGACGAACTGCCGGCTCCATGCTGTCTATTTAAGCTACTAAACGGAAATATTCCAAATGATCAACCTCAAAAAAGACGTGGGGAGAAAAATGAAGTTTTCTCTTCACCTGTCGAATTTTTTATTGACACAGCAAAAAAATGTAGGCTCGAACAAATTTTAGCTAAGAGTATTTGATGGAAAGAGAAACTTGTCAAAATTTTAAACAGAGTTTTCAGCCGATATGAAATCATCTACTTCAAAAAACTATGTTTTCGACAAAAAACTACGTCGAATAATTCTTTGTTCCGGCAGATTTTATCAACCGGTTATACTTACCTCAAGAAAAGCTCGTATGGGGATCTATTATATTAAAACCATAATATCATAATGCAGATATACCAAAATAAGTTCGCAAAGTACGTTCTATTATCGAAAACTGGGTCAGAAAAACTGGTTTTTGCGTCATCACACTAATTTAAACAGACTAAAATATCTAAGGAATAATCATATCTAAGTTCTAAGAAAACGCGGTTTTTACGCTATTTTAGATCAAAAATTCCATTTGGCAGTTTGTTATCTAGTAAAACACCTTCCCACTCGAAACTTGTGCGTTGTTATCATTAATTTCAAGATGCTGTAAATGAAGAACAAATGTGTTTTTAATTGAAAAAATAACTCAAATAACATTTATCTTAGCATTTATAACACGCTAACAAAAATCAAGTACATAAAAATTGAAGATAGTGGGTGAGGGGATAAAAAACCGACTAACTTTTTCTGTTTGTATAGCGGCCAATGGTGTTAATTTAGGGTGTTAGACTTGACATTTTTTAAATTTTTTTAAGCTCACACGTTTATGTTTCAGACAGAAGGTGATGACTTTATTGGCCAAAATTCGAGCCTATGTGAGACCACGAGACACTTTCGAGACGTCGCTCGCTCGGACCCAGAAAGCCGAACTAGGGTCCAAATTGTCGTCCCGATCAGCTGTGACTAGTCAAAATAGCCAAAGTCGAAATAAACAAAACCAACCACACAAGATGTCCACCTCCAGTAGGAAGTTTTCCACAAATATCAGCGTCCTCTAAACCAATCGATAAGAAGGAACTTTTATCAATGTTATCATAACGCCATACTTGCATGTGTGACCACAAACTATCGACATATGAGCTAAGTGTTAACTGCATGAATCGTTTCAACATTCCGGCATCGAACAAAAAAAATCTATTATTTTGTTATAAGGAACTATCAAAAATCTTTTCAAACAACATTGGATAAAGCTCCTGGAGGCTCGCGCTATTACTCCTTACTTGTGAGTTTCCGGCAATAACTTGGGAGCAGCAGATTTCATGATTTGTTCGAACTCAAATGTGTTTTAAATGTCTTAAGTTTTTGATAAACAAACTATTGCAAGCTGATTATGTTTTTTGTTTTCTGTAGTAGATATATACATTATTTAGCCCTTAAAATAGTTGAATGTGAGCAATTAAATCCAATCTTTTAGCTGAAAAATTGCAAAGAAGCAGACAGTCAGTTTATAGAGCAGACAGACCAGTTTAAAGACAAATATTTTTGAGTGACTTTTTTCAGTTGTCGAATTTCTTTTAGTAAAATTACGATCAAATTTTCTAAACAACTTCCGGTATCTCTAAGAAAATCATAGAAATTATGAGAAGCCGGTTGAAAATAAACTTTCGCAAGCAAAACAAGACTGCTCGTATCAGGGCGAAGCCCTGAATGTTCCGACTGCTTTTTAAGTTTTATGGAGCAGTAATAACATAAAAAAATTAAATGTAATAAAAAAAAAATGAATTTTTTTTTCTAAAATTTTTTTTTAAATCATCCCCCCACACGTCATAATAAGTACTAAATGATAGATTTTGCTTCTATTAACAAATCAATTAAGGCATATAAGCTTCCTTGAACCAATTTGGAACAATTTCTAAGACGGATTAAATCTCGTTTACGCGTTAATAGCTCGAAGTATATCGCGCGTTAATTGTCCCAAATTGGCCAAAATGGCAATCTTTAAACCCCCCATAACTTTATGAAAAATGATCACACAGGAAATATCTTTTCAAATTTAAGCTCAGGACAACAATACCTTTCGAATGATAAAAAAAAGTTCCGTCAAAAATGGCTAGTTAAAAAGTCGAAGTTTGTCTGAAGAAAAAAAAAACCCACCCCGAGCACAAATATTCCGTTACTTTCGTATCGAAAGTCGGAACAATAATTGCAAGCAACATAAATTTTGTTCAATTTCCATAATTAGTAATAGTTTTGAGATTCTTCGCAGTTTTGAGAGTTTGGAGAGTTTGACCAAACGGAGAAAAAACATTGTGTAACTCGAAGAAATTTTTTCCTGCCATTAGACAAGGCAAAAACTGTAATGCTACAAATTTTTTTACCACCACGATTTAAAAAAAAACAGACTGCTCGTGTCAGGGCGAAGCCCTGAATGTTACGACTGACTTTTAAGGTTTATGGAATAGTAATAAAATAAAAAAATTAAAAGTAATAAATGAAATGAAATTTTTTTTTTTCTAAAATTTGAAATTCTCTTTAAAAATTATCCCCCCACACGCCATATAAAGTACAAAAGAATAAATTTCGCTCCTTGTAACAAATCAATTATGGCAAATATGCTTCTTTCAATCAATTTAGAATGATTTCTAAGACAGATTAAATGTCCGCTTACGCGTTAATAGCGCGAAATATATCGCGCGTTAATTGTCACAAAATGGCCAAAATGGAAATCTTCAAACCCCCATAACTTTACGAAAAATGATCAAAGGTGAAGTATCTTTTTAAATTTAAGCTCAGGACAACAATACTTTTCGAATGATATAAAGAAATTCCGTCAAAAATGGCTAGTTAAAAAATCAAAAAATTTCTGAAGAAAAAAAACCCCACCCGAGCACAAATATTCCGTTAGTCTCGTATCGAAAGTCGGAACGAAAACAGATTTGAAAAAGTGAGATGAAAATTTCTTTACAGAGATTTAGGGCGCGTAGAAAATATAATATTGTTTGCTGGCTCTCCCAAAATTTTAAAACCTAATATTTTGAAAAGAGAAAACAACTCGGTGCTACTAACAAAAAGTTGAAAAAAGCAATCCTTCCATTTTAACTTCCTGACTGACTACTAATCTGATGCCAAGGGGAAAAAATCACATAAAAACATCTGTTATTTAATCAGGTCTGTCGTTTTGCAATGCGACAAATAGTAAAAAGACACAGCTCTCAAGAAAACAGATCAGGTAGGAATCGCAAACAATCACAGGCGATTCCTGCAGGTAAGAATCGCAAACAATTCCAAGCTCAGGGCGGATCTAGAATTTTCTCGAGGGGGAGGGCGAACTTCTTAGGTCAAATAAATTGATTTTCCTAGCACTCCCGGAACACTATAAAGAACCTATTTCACCAAAAAAATTTGCGCCGCAGGCACGTTTCTGAAAAAGAGGTCAGAAAAGCCGTTTCCATTCAAAGTTAGCATATATTGGCGCCAAGGGCTCCGGTAGAAAACTTTTAGGGTTAATCGACTTAAAGTGGAAGTCATAAAATAATACCAATAGGGGACTGTTTGGTTGGTGAGGGATCGATTCCCTGAGAGAGGGAGCATCCGCCCCAGCATCCCCCTTAAACCTGCCCCACGAACGACTGTATAAAACATGACGCTGAAGCTTTTCAGTCCTGAATGGTTAATTTCAAATTAGTTCAAAATTTGTTATTGATTTTTTTCTAAACTAATTTGAGGTTTTGCCTTTTAGACAAACTGAAAATGAATAGTCAGTCTTCGTAATGAACCATTCTAAGCTAAATTAGTCTGTCAGTCTAATGAATGCTTTTTAGCGATGATTCAGACAATTACTACTTGCACTCTCAGAGACAAGGCGGCAGCTAGTCGCAATCAACTAGTCGCCACAGGCAAAAACCATAATTTTTTTCAAAATGAATATGTGTTGCATGAAAACTTTACAACCAACAACAAACTATCAATTACATTTTTAATCATTAATGCCATTGATTGTTTGTTGTTGATTGAATTATTACTGCAACATGCGAAAAAAAAATTTTTTTTGCCTGTAGCCACTTGTTGGTTGCGACTAGTTGCCGCCCTGTTTCTCAGAATTCAGGTAAAATGGGTCTGAATCATTACCACAAAACAATCAACAGACTGATCAATCCAATTTTGCGCCAAATTTGATTGATTGAACTGTTTCGATGCTAATTTTAAGCGAAATATCTTTTAACAAAAAAAAGTCTACTCGTATCAAGGCGAAAATTTTTTTGAGTACATGATTCTAAGACAAGTTATAAAATTCTCAAAAAACAAATGAAAAAAAAACAATTTTCTATCGTTTTTTCAAATACTGTCACCCGCACGTTATGCCAATTTCAAAATTATTTTTTGAGTTTTTAGTAACGTGTTAGTTACACCACTGTTCAATTACTGCTAAATTGTTCGGTTATATAAAACTGTTAAAAAGTCGAAAGCGAACTGCAGAAAATGAACACCGAGCACAAAAACTTCTTGATTTTTTCGAAAGTCGAAACAAAACTGAGAGAAAATTTTTCAGCTGATGGGAATAAACTTATAAAACTCTACAGAAGCTTGTTTTAGGATGAGTTTCATTGAGTGTAGGCGGTATAGTAGTTTGCAGTCTTTATGTCTGAAAGACGCCTAAGGTGAACTGTTTGAACCTCTTTGTAATAGTTTGGGAGGAATAGCGTGATCTGGTTGTTAAGACTTCTTCTTCAAACTAAGACTAGCAAATACTTTTGTAACGTTTTGTTGAAAAAAACTGAAAACTTTGCCTGCTTTTCAAACTCGTGCACTTTCGAAAAAAAATTCTATTCCACCAAACCACCAAGGATTTTATTTCCCTCTCAACAATTATGAAGTAACCCACATTTTAGAAAAATTATTAAAGAAAGGGAACAAAATTATTTGTAATTAGCTAATTTTCAATGACAAAGTGCAATTTTGAAATCCATTCACAAATCGTGAAACCCTGCGACAGTTAATCGAGTTTGCTTCAACGGCAAAAAAACGGACGATAACAGACAATAAACAGACATCTTTGGATTCAACGGACACTTAAATTTTTCCAGCTTTTAGTGTTGGTCATTTAACTTCATGGAAAAGTGCATCTAAAACCATTTAGAGTTTTTATATGTGGAATTCAGAAGCAATGAGTGTCTAATTTTGTGATGTGTCATAAAACCGATTTTGGCGCCGTCCTGTAACAGCAAGCTAATTTTTATGACAAATTGACAAAATGATTATGTAAATTTTTCTTAAAAAAGCAGGTGGCGAGAAATGGTAAAAGAGCCGTGACCATTAATTATTATTGCTTCTACGGGAAAGCTTAATCAAAATTGCAAAATGTTTGTTTTTATCAGAAACTTTTTTCTTTCTTTTGAGGAGGTGGGTGTAGGTTGCTTTGTAAAAAAAATGATGAAAAAATGGAGAACAGTCGAAACATTCGAGGCTTTGACCTGATAGCAGTTAACGCCTATTGAACTAAATTTCAAGAATATTTGCGGACAGGAAATAATTATCCCTAAACTCAATTCCCCGAGGGGAATCGCATGTCAGTTAAAATTTTCCGTTGACCGGTTTCTATCACACTCATTATTTTCAGATCGATACTTTTTGAAATTCAGATAAAGAACCTTTTCGCTCTTAGCGTAATTTGACAACCAGTCTGGCAGATCCAATTTTGACTGAAATGCGGTTTAGAGTGCAATTTAGAAGACAGAGAGTGGTATCCAATTGTTGAGCTACTCCAAAAGAAATGTCCGATTCTGGTCAATTCACCAAAAAATGTACCATTAATTGATCTGTAAAATGGACCTATTTGCACTTGCTTTTTTATTTAATATTTTGCTGCAAAAATGCGGATACAATTGTTGATTGTGCATGCTCAAATTTGAAACTAAAGACTCAGTAGAAATTAAACACCTTTGCTCATATCAGGGCAAAGCCCCAAGTTTTTCGACTCCCTATAAAGTGTTTAAAAATATTTTGATTTTCAAAATTTGAAGAAAGTTTTAAACAAAATTGAAACTTTAAACAAAAATCATGTTTTTAGTCAATCATCCCACACTTATTATCACAAAAAAACTTCTAAAATAATTTCTCCTTTTTCGTTTTTCTTTCGTAAAGTTGATCAAAATCTATTCTGTTTCCGAGCTCTCTCAAAACAAGCAAAAAAACCTTCACTGGGCTACAATATATAAGAATACACCTAATTAAAAAAAAATTATTGGTGAAGGTGCTAATGCCAGTTTCCCTTGTGTGTTTAATAAAAGGATCGGGTGGCTCAAGAATGGACTGAGCATTTTTTGACAGCACATTTGACCAAAAAACAGTAGTGAAGAATTTGACGGGAAAGTTTTACTAATGTAACCAGATCTAAACTAGAATTTGTTATTGGATATTAATCTGATAT